ATAGGAGTTAAGGTTATATTGTAACCCACATAGGTTACTATATTCCACCATTAACTAGCCATTTTAATATGGAGGTTATGGGTATTTTTCATTTACTAACCCATTTAATTTGGGAGTTATATATCCATAGGTTAAAGTTGTAAGGGCTATATAAAGCCTTCTTTTCTTTGATTAGAGATCAGATCTTGGAATTAAGAATAGAATTTCTATTTTAGCTTTGTTGAGAGCTAAACTTTCTTTGCAAATTCTTGTGTTTAGAACTTGCATGTAGAGTCAATCAAGTGGTATTGATCAAACCTCTTGTGGAGTGATTCGAATCACGAGTTTAGAAACGAGTTTTCTTTACTCTTGATCTTGATCATCAAGGTAATCCGTTCCATACTTTCCCTTGGGTTGATTTTCCATATCATTTGGTATCAGAACTTCAGGCTCAAGATCGGATATATGTTTCATTTTGCTTATCTCTTTTAATTCTCTTATAATTTTTTTTTTCTCAGTTTGTGTAGAATGTTCATGTTCTATCACAAAAATATATAACAAAAAAAAAAAAATCTTATGTTCTTCAAAGTGTTAGATCTGGATCTTATCAACACTTTGTTCTTCTTTAAGATCTTCTAAATCAATTTCCTTGTTGGTAAATTGACTATATTTTGCCAATCAGAAGAAAAAAAAAAAAAAACCATTGAAAGAAAGAAAGCATATTGATGTTAAATGTTTTTTTTTTTCCTCTTGATTATTATATGTAACTCTCATATGTTACTACGTCTACATTAGTCCTTAATCATTTTCTTTCTTTAATTCGTTTCTTTGTCGTTATTCGGATTGCTCCTTCAATACCCTTGTGTATGTCTTGAGTGTGCTGTCTATTCACTTTGAATTGCACTTAGCTCTATAACATAGCTTGTCTCACATCCCAATTTGTTTTTTGGAGTGTGATTTGTGTGTGCTCAATTGTGAGGGTGAGTTTGTAAGGGAGTGACACATTGATTCGAGTGTTGAGTGCTAAACACGAGTGAACTACATTTACGAGTGAATACACGTGAGGGAGTGCTTGTGAGGTCCTTTTTTTTTTTTTTTTTTTTTACCTTTTTTTTTTTTTTTTTTTTGTAGCATGGAAAATCCAGAGGACAATACTGACATTACTGATGCACGATTGAGAGAAGCCCAACAACGAACCATGGAAAGACTAATTCGAGGAATAGAAGAGTTGACTGATCGAATAGGCAGATTGGAGATTCAAAATCAAGCTCGACAGAGGATTCCACTACCTACGCCCTCAACCGATACATATGAGGGCGACAATTCTGATCACCACGAGGATAATCCACATGTGGTTGGTCATGGCTTGATGCAAGGGAGAGACCATGGAAGAAGGTATCATAATTTACAACAACGAGTTCCTTATGATGATAGAATTGATCGTAACGTGGGGAGCATCAAATTAAAACTTCCCAAGTTTTATGGCAAAACCGATCCAGAGGAGTACCTTCAATGGGAGAAAACGGTGGAGTCGGTGTTCAACTGTCATAATTTTAGTGATGAAAAGAAGGTACTATTATGCATTGCTCAATTCAAACAATATGCTCAAATTTGGTGGGATAAATTGATGTCAAGTAGGAGAAGAAATCTTGAAGCACCAATTGATTCATGGGTCGAGTTCAAAGAGTCCATGAGGAAGCGTTTTGTTCTACAATATTTTCACCGGGACATGGCGCAAAAGCTTCAAGCATTGAAACAAGGACGCAAATCTGTGGAGGATTATTACAAGGTGATGGATATATTGATGGATCGACTTGAACTCGATGAGGACATGGAGGCTCTCATGGCGCGGTTTCTTAATGGGTTAAACACAGAGATTGCGGACAAGACTGATTTACAGCCTTATTCTAATATTGAGGAGTTGTTGCACATTGCAATTAAGATCGAGAGGCAAATCCAACGAAGGTCTCAACGGTATTCTTCTAAAACTTTTCCCAATTCTACTTCTACATGGAAAAGGGATAGTAAGAACATTGATTATACGCATAGAAATCAAGAGATTAATGAGAAGCCTCAAGCTAAATTTGAGAAAGGGGAGAGTTCTAGAACAGGGAAAGAAAAAGTAGAAAAGTCTAATGTTCGAAATAAAGATTTAAAGTGTTGGAGATGTCAAGGGGTAGGACACTATAGTAGAGATTGCCCAAACGCAAGAATTATGACCATCAAGGAGGGAGAAATTGTTACGGATGACGAGGCACATGACGACATAAATGAGGAAACTGATGAGAGTGAGGAGTTTAGTGAAGAGGACCCTACACATATATCTTTGGTTACTCGACGAGCTCTAAACACCCACATTAAGAAGGACGGCCTAGACCAAAGGGAGAACTTGTTTCAAACTCGGTGTCTTGTTCAATCTGTACCATGTATGGTATGAACCAAAAGACATCAATCATACAATATACTTCAATGAAGATGTGAAGAAAAGGTTGTCAAAATTATCAAAAGATGTTTCAATTCATGCCACATTGAAGAAGAATGAAGTTTGATTGTTATAAATTTTGGGTGGGTTACAATTTAGAGTTATTGTATTTCATTTATGTATTTTAAGACTTTATTTACTATAGGTTACAATTACATAATGGTTAATTATGGTCATTAAGTATCAATGTTACAACTCTTGGAATGACTTTAGTAGTTTCATTTTGAGGCTATATAAAGCCATGTATGTTGTATGTGTAAGGGACTTGGAAAAATATAGTAAAAAGAAGCATTTGTGCTCTTCTTTAGCCAATGGCTAAGTTTCTTTGCAATTCTATGCAGTTTAGGTTGCATGTAGAATCATTCAAGCTCGACATGATCAATCTTGCTTGTGGAGTGATTCGAATCTCATGGAAGTGTTTTTGCCTTGAGATATTTGATCAACAAGAATCATTCAAGCTAGACATGATCGATCTTGCTTGTGGAGTGATTCGAATCTCAAACAATGTTCTTGCCTTGAGATATTCGATCAACAAGGTAATCCGAATCTTACTCCCCTTGTAGTGGTTCCTTTTCTTATCATTTGGTATCAGAGCTTAAGGCTCAAGATCGGATATATGTTTCCTTTGCATTTCTTTTCAATTTGTTTTTATCTTTTTAGTTTTTAATCGACCCAAAATAAAAAAAATCAAATCTGGGCTCTACTAGAAAATTTGAGAGGTGAGGATGAGAGATTCATTTGTGTAAATGAGTGCAAACATAGTGGCCTAAAATTCCTTGAGTGTATACACGTGAGAGAGTGTTATGAGGTCCTTTGTATTTCCATTACTTATTTTTTGCAGCAAAGTTTCACAAATAGATTCGAGGACGAATCCTCTTGAAGAAGTGGAGAATGGTATGAAGCAAAAGACATCAATCATACAATATACTTCAATGAAGATGTGAAGAAAAGGTTGTCAAAATTATCAAAAGATGTTTCAATTCATGCCACATTGAAGAAGAATGAAGTTTGATTGTTATAAATTTTGGGTGGGTTACAATTTAGAGTTATTGTATTTCATTTATGTATTTTAAAACTTTATTTACTATAGGTTACAATTACATAATGGTTAATTATGGTCATTAAGTATCAATGTTACAACTCTTGGAATGACTTTAGTAGTTTCATTTTGAGGCTATATAAAGCCATGTATGTTGTATGTGTAAGGGACTTGGAAAAATATAGTAAAAAGAAGCATTTGTGCTCTTCTTTAGCCAATGGCTAAGTTTCTTTGCAATTCTATGTAGTTTAGGTTGCATGTAGAATCATTCAAGCTCGACATGATCAATCTTGCTTGTGGAGTAATTCGAATCTCATGGAAGTGTTTTTGCCTTGAGATATTTGATCAACAAGAATCATTCAAGCTAGACATGATCGATCTTGCTTGTGGAGTGATTCGAATCTCAAACAATGTTCTTGCCTTGAGATATTTGATCAACAAGAATCATTCAAGCTAGACATGATCGATCTTGCTTGTGGAGTGATTCGAATCTCAAACAATGTTCTTGCCTTGAGATATTCGATCAACAAGGTAATTCGAATCTTACTCTCCTTGTAGTGGTTCCTTTTCTTATCAATGTAGTGTTGTAATTGATAGCGGTTGTTGCACCAATGTTGTGAGTTCCATTCTGGTCAAAAGACTTAATTTAAAGACACAACCACATCCAAGACCCTACAAGCTTCAATGGTTGAATGATTGTGGGGAAGTACGGGTAACTCAACAAACTCTTGTTTCCTTTACTATTGGAAAATATGTTGATGATGTTTTATGTGATGTTGTATCCATGCATGTTGGAGATTTACTACTGGGGAGGCCTTGGCAATTTGATCGTCGGGTAATGTATGATGGGTATGCAAATCGATACTCTTTTACTCACAACGGTAGAAAAACTACTCTTATTCCATTGTCTCCAAAAGATGTATTTATTGATCATTGCAAACTTAAAAAGAAAAGGCAAGAGGTTGATGCAAAAGCAGAGATTGAAAAAGAATCAAGTGAAAAAAAGAGCTTGAGGGCAAAGCAAGAGAGTAACACTCAGCCTAGAGAAAAAAAAGAGAGAAAAGCCAAATCAGTAAGCTTGTATGTTAGATCAAGTGAGGCTAGGAATGTTTTGATCTCTAACCAGACTATTCTTGTACTTATGTGCAAGGGATCTTGTTACTTTACTAACATGCTTAACCCTTCTTTGCCTAGTCATTTTGTTGTGCTTTTGCAAGAGTTTGAAGATTTATTTTCCGAGGAGAAGCCTAGTAGTTTGCCACCACTTAGAGGGATTGAACACAAGATTGACTTCATTCCTGGCGCGCCCATTCCAAACCGACCAGCTTATAGGACTAATCCAAAGGAGGCTGAAGAGATACAAAGGCAAGTAAGTGAACTTCTTGCTAAAGGGTATGTACGTGAAAGTTTGAGTCCTTGTTCTGTTCCAGTTATTCTTGTACCTAAGAAAGATGGTTCTTGGCGTATGTGTGTTGATTGTAGGGCTATAAACAAGATAACTATAAAGTATAGGCATCCAATTCCCAGATTAGATGATATGCTTGATGAATTGCATGGATGTAGTCTTTTTACTAAGATTGATTTAAAATCGGGTTATCATCAAATTCGCATGCATATTGGGGATGAGTGGAAAACAGCTTTTAAAACAAAGTATGGTCTTTATGAATGGTTGGTTATGCCTTTTGGATTAACTAATGCACCTAGTACATTCATGAGACTAATGAACCATGTCTTACGAGAATACTTAGGTAAGTTTGTGGTTGTTTATTTTTATGACATCCTTGTTTACTCTAAATCTTTAGATGATCATATTACCCATGTACGCAATGTTTTGATTACTTTAAGAAACGAATGTTTGTACGTAAATTTAAAGAAATGTAGCTTTTGCATGGAAAAAGTTAACTTTCTTGGGTTTGTAGTTTCATCTAATGGTGTTGAGGTTGACGAGGAGAAAGTGAAGGCTATAAAAGATTGGCCTACACCTAAAAATGTAAGTGAGGTAAGAAGTTTTCATGGTCTTGCAAGTTTCTACCATAGGTTCATTAAGAATTTTAGTACAATTGCTTCACCCTTGAATGAACTTGTTAAGAAAAATGTATCCTTTATATGGGAAAAAGATCAAGAACTTGCTTTTAATACTTTGAAAGAAAAATTGAGTTATGCTTCCTTGCTTGCATTACCTAATTTTGAGTCTACTTTTGAAATTGAATGTGATGCTAGTGGAGTAGGGATAGGTGCTGTATTAATGCAAAATCAAAGACCTTTGATGTTCTTTAGTGAGAAGTTGACTGGTGCATCTTTGAGGTATCCAACTTATGACAAAGAGCTTTATGCTTTAGTTCGTGCATTGCAAACCTGGCAACATTATCTTTGGCCTAAGGAGTTCATTATTCATACGGATCATGAAAGTTTAAAGCATTTGCGAGTACAAAATAAACTCAACAGACGACATGCTAAGTGGTTAGAATTTATTGAAACATTCCCTTATGTCATAAAATATAAACAAGGTAAGGAGAACATTGTTGCAGATGCATTATCACGAAGGTATGTCCTCCTCAATACTTTGAATGCTAGGTTGTTGGGTTTTGAACACATAAAGGATTTGTATCAACATGACATGTTCTTTGCTCCTTTTGTTGAATCTTGTGAAAAAGGACTCATTGTGGATAATTACTTGTTAGATGGATTTTTGTTCCGAAAAGGCAAACTTTGCATACCATCTTGTTCCATCCGTGAGCTACTTGTGAGGGAAGCTCATGGAGGTGGTTTAATGGCACACCATGGAGTTTCTAAAACTTATGATATGCTCTCTGAACATTTTTTTTGGCCTAAAATGAGACATGATGTTCATAAAGTTTGTGCTCGTTGCATAGCATGTAAACAAGCTAAGTCTAGGCTTCAACCACATGGTTTATACTCCCCATTACCGGTTCCTAATGGTCCTTGGATTGATATATCAATGGATTTTGTTTTAGGTTTACCTAGGACTAGGAAAGGTTATGATAGCATCTTTGTTGTGGTTGATCGATTTAGTAAAATGGCTCATTTTATTCCTTGTCACAAAACTGATGATGCAAAACATATTGCAGACCTGTTCTTTAGGGAAGTTGTACGATTGCATGGCATTCCTAAAAGCATTGTTAGTGATCGTGATGTAAAATTTTTAAGCCACTTTTGGCGTGTTTTATGGGGTAAGTTAGGAACTAAGCTAATATATTCAACTACTTGTCATCCTCAAACGGATGGACAAACTGAAGTTGTTAACAGAACCATGACTGCTATGCTTAGGGCTATTATTGATAAGAATCTTAAGACTTGGGAGGATTGTTTGCCCTTTATATAATTTGCATATAATAGGGTTGTTCATAGCACTACTAAATGCACACCTTTTGAAATTGTTTATGGCTTTAATCCTTTAACCCCCCTTGACTTGTTGCCCATACCATCAAAAGAGTTTGTGAATTTTGATGCAAATGCCAAGGTTGAGTTTGTTCATAAACTTCACAAGCAAGTGAAAGAACAAATTGAGAAACAAAATTCCAAGGTTGCCACCCGAATTAATAAAGGACGTAAGTTTGTCATCTTCAAGCCAGGAGATTGGGTTTGGGTGCATTTCCGAAAAGAAAGATTTCCTACTCAAAGAAAATCTAAGCTTTTACCACGAGGAGATGGACCTTTTCAAGTTCTTGAGCGTATCAACGACAATGCTTATAAAATTGATTTACCAGGTAAGTACGGTGTTAGTACAACTTTTAATGTTGTTGATTTGAGTCCTTTTGATGTAGGTGATGGCTTTGATTCGAGGACGAATCTTTTTCAAGAGGGGGAGAATGATATGAACCACGACCAAGGAATTTCCATACCTGAAGGTCCAATTACAAGGACGAGAGCTAAGAAGCTACAACAAACCTTATACAGTTATATTCAAGCTATGGTGAGCTCATCAAAGGAAATTCTAGAAGACGCTGGAGACCTCCCTTATATGTTGTGCAAAGTTGAGCTTCAAGAAAGAGATGAATTAAATGCACTTTAAGTTGCATTTAATGAACTCCACTGAATTTATGAAACTAGTCCAAGGATGAGTCAATAAGCACATTTTATTAATTGCATTATTTTATTATAGTTTAAATATTTGTTTGTCATATTTAAGCTAGTTTTAAATATAGGAGTTAAGGTTATATTGTAACCCACATAGGTTACTATATTCCACCATTAACTAGCCATTTTAATATGGAGGTTATGGGTATTTTTCATTTACTAGCTCATTTAATTTGGGAGTATATATCCATAGGTTAAGTTTGTAAGGGCTATATAAAGTCTTCTTTTCTTTGATTAGAGATGAGATTTTGGAATTAAGAATAAAATTTCTATTTTAGCTTTGTTGAGAGCTAAACTTTCTTTGCAAATTCTTGTGTTTAGAACTTGCATGTAGAGTCATTCAAGTGGTATTGATCAAACCTCTTGTGGAGTGATTCGAATCACGAGTTTAGAAACGAGTTTTTTTTACTCTTGATCTTGATCATCAAAGTAATCCATTCCATACTTTCCCTTGGGTTGATTTTCCATATCAAAAAGGTTCTTCCTTTCTGCAATCCTCTCTTAAGCCAACTGCTTCTCATACATACATGGCGTAGTATTTACTCGCGCAAGAATGTAGTGAAGCAAGGCTGCTCCAAGCTTGTTGGAAATGGTGCCTCTACATCCTTTTGGTATGATAAGTGGATTGGTTATTGGTAATACTTCCATTGCTGAAAGGTGCAACTCCGATGTTCCCTTGCATATGAGGGGTGAGAAAGTGGGGGATTACTACAATGATGGAGAATGGAATTGGTCACGACTGAAGATCCTATTTTGTCATAAATTCCTGGTTTGGGAGGAAAGGTATACGGTACCACTGTACTTTTCTATGTTGGTGGCCTAATTCTCATGTGGGATCCAATGAGCATTAAGCTAAATATTTTGGCATGCAACGACCAAGTTATCCATTTTGAAGCCAATGTACAAGGCGAAACGACCATCCTTTCCTTTGTATACGTGCAATGCAACCAAATGAGACGGCGAAAGGTATGTTCTGGAATCATTTAACTAAAAGGAGGATCAAGGAAACTTTCTTATAAAGTAGGAGAACGAAGGAGCTGAGAAAATCTAGCTACGCGACAAAGAGGACTTGGTAACAGATAGGATCCGTCATCGGAACAGCTAACAAGCTAGGTCGTGGTGATATGAACCAAAAGACATCAATCATACAATATACTTCAATGAAGATGTGAAGAAAAGGTTGTCAAAATTATCAAAAGATGTTTCAATTCATGCCACATTGAAGAAGAATGAAGTTTGATTGTTATAAATTTTGGTTGGGTTACAATTTAGAGTTATTGTATTTCATTTATGTATTTAAAGACTTTATTTACTATAGGTTACAATTACATAATGGTTAATTATGGCCATTAAGTATGAATGTTACAACTCTTGGAATGACTTTAGTAGTTTCATTTTGAGGTTATATAAAGCCATGTATGTTGTATGTGTAAGGGACTTGAAAAATATAGTAAAAAGAAGCATTTGTGCTCTTCTTTTAATCATATGAACCAAAAGACATCAATCATACAATATACTTCAATGAAGATGTGAAGAAAAGGTTGTCAAAATTATCAAAAGATGTTTCAATTCATGCCACATTGAAGAAGAATGAAGTTTGATTGTTATAAATTTTGGGTGGGTTACAATTTAGAGTTACTGTATTTCATTTATGTATTTTAAGACTTTATTTACTATAGGTTACAATTACATAATGGTTAATTATGGCCATTAAGTATGAATGTTACAACTCTTGGAATGACTTTAGTAGAGTTTCATTTTGAGGCTATATAAAGCCATGTATGTTGTATGTGTAAGAGACTTGAAAAATATAGTAAAAGAAGCATTTGTGCTCTTCTTTAGCCAATGGCTAAGTTTCTTTGCAATTCTATGTAGTTTAGGTTGCATGTAGAATCATTCAAGCTCGACATGATCAATCTTGCTTGTGGAGTGATTCGAATCTCAAGCAAGTGTTCTTGCCTTGAGATATTTGATCAACAAGAATCATTCAAGCTAGACATGATCGATCTTGCTTGTGGAGTGATTCGAATCTCAAACAATGTTCTTGCCTTGAGATATTCGATCAACAAGGTAATCCGAATCTTACTCCCCTTGTAGTGGTTCCATATCTTATCATTTGGTATCAGAGCTTAAGGCTCAAGATCGGATATATGTTTCCTTTGCATTTCTTTTCAATTTGTTTTTATCTTTTTAGTTTTTAATCGACCCAAAATAAAAAAAATCAAATCTGGGCTCTACTAGAAAATTTGAGAGGTGAGGATGAGAGATTCATTTGTGTAAATGAGTGCAAACAGAGTGGCCTAAAATTCCTTGAGTGTATACACGTGAGAGAGTGTTATGAGGTCCTTTGTATTTCCATAACTTATTTTTTGCAGCAAAGTTTCACAAATAGATTCGAGGACGAATCCTCTTG